GTGGTGGTGGTGTTGGTGGGGGGACGTGGTGGTGGTGTTGGTGGTGGACGTGGTGGGGGGACGTGGTGTTAGTGGTGGTGGGGGGACGTGGTGGACGTGGTGGAGGTGGTGTTGGTGGGGGGACGTGGTGTTGGTGTTGGTGGGGGGACGTGGTGTTAGTGGGGGGACGTGGTGGACGCGGTGGAGGCGGTGGAGGTGGTGGAGGTGGTGGACGTGGTGGAGGCGGTGGAGGTGGTGGTGGTGTTGGTGGTGGACGTGGTGGGGGGACGTGGTGTTAGTGGTGGACGCGGTGGAGGTGGTGGAGGTGGTGGACGTGGTGTTAGTGGTGGTGGTTTTGGTGGGGGGACGTGGTGTTAGTGGGGGGACGTGGTGGACGCGGTGGAGGCGGTGGAGGCGGTGGAGGTGGTGGACCTGGTGAGCGGAGGTTTCACTCGAAGTGGTTTTTAAAAACATCTTTATGAGACAAGCGTAGGATTTCCCATTAATTCTTGTTTTTCCTGTTTGCAGCTGAAGCAGAAACCTGCAGAGTCTTTCTGCTGGGGGGGGGGGGGGGGGGCGGTCATTTATAAATAATTAGACAGTGTTTGGAGTCTTCAGCCGTGTAGAATATATCAAAGCCATTAGAAGGTGAATTGTTCCTTTGTGTCCGTCCGCCCTGCACTTCTTTTCACTCCTCTCTGATTTGTTCCTCGTCCAAACTCTGCTCCTCTGCTCTTTTGTGCTGCTTCTTTCTGCCTCAGCTTCTCTATTGGTTTCATTCTCATTCAAATGTACTCAGCAGGAACAAAACCAAACCCAGGCTGCACACAAATCATCTGTGGCCCCGGGCCGCAGGGCCTCGGGCCGCAGGGGCCCGGCCGGCACAAGCCTCTGTGAGGCACCGACTACACCAGAGCTAATCCTACATCCTGAGAGGATGACTTTAAAAAACAGAGAGAGAGAAAGAGAGAGACAAAAACTTCTCCTGCTTCGGTTAGGGTCCAACACATGTGTCAGAAAGAAAGAACGAAAGAATGAATAAAAGAAAGAAAGAAGGAGGACGAGGAGGAAATGAAATAAGAAGAAAGAAAAGGAAAAACATTAAAGTAAGAAGAAGAAATTCATTCACTGATTTTGAATGAAATGATTTTAAATTCATTCACACACAAACCAGAAAAATAGCAACAAGACAGAATAAGAAAATAAAAGGAATTAATAATAGAATAAAATCAAAAGAGTCAAACAAGAAGAAATTCAATAAGTTCAAACGTAGAAAGAAGAGAAAAGAAAGAAAGAGGAACGAAATCATCAACATCATCATCCTCCAGGAGGCGCTACACTCACGCAGAAGAAGAAGAGGAAGTTTTATTTTACGACCTGGTCACTTCAAAGTGATGGAACAGCTTGTCAGGCTGCACTTCACGTGCACGCTAATGCTTTACAGCTGTGATTTTATTGACTGAGAGCTGACGTGCACGTGGGGGGGGCAGTTTAGATTTACATTACATGGACAAAAGTATTTGGACAACCTGAGGAGAAATGAAATTCATGCTGCATCATTAAACCAACAGGGGGGGTGTTAAAATAAATACTTTTTTTAAATAAGAATTTTTTTTTAAATCAGATCAATAATAAAATCATTAAAGACAGAACGTCAACAGGAAACTGGGAGGAGCCTCCTCAGCTGGTCTCTCCAGTCTTTTAACAGTTTTAAAATCATTCTGACGGAGGAGACCTGCAGAGCAGCAGCATTGTTCAAGTCTGGTCCACAAATGTCAAAGACTCGCTTCAGTGTGGTGACTTTCTTCACAAGGAACTTCCTAACGACCGAAGCTACAGTCACTTTGAAACAGGTTGTTTAAAACGCTGCCCGGGCTGCAGGCCTCCAGACCAGATCTGCAGGGCCCCTCAGCAACCTCTGAACCAGTTGTAGCCTA